ACAGTTGCGACGCTGCTGACCCCTCAGCCTATACGACGACGACGGCGGTGGCGACGACGACGGTGGTGGCGGCTGCGTTGTTATTATTTTGCCGCGGTGCTTTTGACCCTACAAACCGGGCGAGTTCATTGCAGCGCTTTCGCGGGGGTGTCAGCCAGTTTTATTACTCCGGCCTTCTCCGTCCGCAGCAGCAGCGCCGACGGCGCCAGAACCATACCACGACGTGGTATATGCAGCATGTCTACTAGTGTATGTACTTGATCACACCAATAATCCAGGCACGTTGAACCGCCTATTCATAGGGCGAGAAGTTGCCGACAACTTCTGAACATTGACTTAGTGCGATATCTTGACCGAGTCAACTGAAAAGAACTACAGTGACGTTGCGACTGATTGTGAGAAAGGACGCGACGAACCACGTGATATACCTGTCGTCGGGCCGCGTCATGCAAAGCATGCTCGACTCCCCGATGGCCATAACCTGAATTGAGCCGATTTGACCCGATTAAACCCGATTCAACGTAGTCGCAGTTGAACGAACAAGCAAACGAACGAATGAAAGAAAACAAACGGTAGCCATTGACTTTTTTCGTCTTTCCTCGTGCTTGCGCTCTCGTTATTCTCTCTGCTGTTTTTTCCTTGTGATAAAGAACACGCTACCGCTTTTTGCGATTAACATGAGGATGTTCGCTTGTGAATAACAAGTGTATTATGCTTTGATGGTATTATTCGTCTAGTGTGAAAACAAAGTAAAGATTTGATCACAGGAAAAAGATTAGTCAGTCTGCTTCTAACAGGTGACTAGTTGAACAAATGGACGGATTGATCGCGATACGTATACTGTTTCTCGTTCGTTTAGTGTCCTCTCATAACGGTGTTAACTTGAAATAATCATGCTATGGAGCACTGTGCACTTAGTGTCATTGATACAGTGTCGGTATAGTGTCAACCGTTACGTGTAATTGTCTGAAGGTGGTGGCGTGGGAGTCCGACATTTTAACCGCTCGTATTCACGAAAAGATACAAGTGTCCACGTGTGAAATACGGTCGCCACTCAGGCCTGTGAGAATCACAAGTCGAGCTTATCAACAAGATTTTTTAGTGTCTTCTCTGATAAGAAACTTACTATGCGTGCGGTTAATATTTGATTTCATGGTCACGATCTATTTATTTTTCCATTTTCGTGACCACACCGTTCATTACCAAAGAAAAAGGTGTCAAGCACGTTTCTTACGTCGCACAGTGGGTTATTTGCTCGATCTAGTTGGACAAAAGTCAGTTTTGTTAAACTCATTACAGGTAAAAATAACTTTTTATCTGAGAAAGGCAAGTACCACGGAGGCAATAAACTGCAACTGTTTTCATCTTCACATTAACATGTATAGCTTCTGATGATTAATTGAAACTTGACCGTGTCTCACAGCGAACGTACATTTTGTTGCTTATTTCCGCGATAATAATCTTTCAAATTCGTCATTTTTTCCTGTTTTTAAAGGTACCTGTCAGTATCAAATTATTTCCTAGATTGTTCTGAAGTACGTAAAGGTGCATAAGTCTCAAGCATTTTAATTAAAATTTCATTCATTTCAACATACTTAGAGTATTAAGGAAAGGAATTTTCTAGTTAAATTTAAAGGATCTATCATCATAACTTGAAAGGATTTGTTAAAATACATGAATCTCCTTGTGATCATTGCGAATATAATAAATGGTCATATGTGATATTTTTTCATTAAGGATTACTTTTACTTGAAAATTTTGTTTTTGGGAGCATCTTGGGTTAAAACAATGACTCGAAGAGATATATATCAAAGAGAAATATTTCAAAATATATTTCATATAATGCAACAAAAATAACATTGTAATATTAATGAAAAATTAAAATTTGTTAAAAATTACATTTTGAGTCATGAAAAATATTTGGAGGATTAGACCAAGAAAATTAAAAATAAATTTCCATATATAAAATCTGAAATAAAAAATCTGAAGTACACATATCTTAGTTATATTTAATTGTATGTACATATTATTATATTTATCGATAATAACAATTAAACCATTAAAAACATATTCTAATGATTTTTTGTCTTTAAATTGTTTTAATTTTACCACAAATAAGTCAGTAATCATGTTGTCGATCAAGCAAATAACAGAAGTAATTTTGACCAGCTAAATTGGAAAAACATCCCACTGTGTGTCAATTTAACAATTTTAAGAAAGAGTAAATGATGGAAATTGTGTAATTTTGTTTAATAGCAGAAGAAAGGAAATTATAATTTTTAGAAACCAGTGTGTCTATTGACAAGTTAACAGCATCGTTGAAAAATATCTGTGCTTTGTAGTGAAGTGTTGGATGGTATTTTATCAAGTGTCTAACAATGAAAAATACCTGGTGAGTCAAAATTTTAATATATAACATTTATAAAAATATGTAATCATTTGTTCTTGCAAAGCATATGTTTTAATTAGTTATTCGAGATAAAGAAAATGGGAGAAAAGAAGGAAAACAGAATAGAGGGGGGAGATTGGTAGTAGAAAAAACTAAAGAAGTATAATTTCATACTTTTATTTATATTATTATTCTTTTCATTAATGTAGTTAGAAAAACGCGAAAAAATGAAAGAAGGAAGAGAAGAATATCTATAAACGAAAAAATTCATTTATTTTGTTTTTAGTTCTTAAGGCTTAAATTTTTAAATTATGAAATTTTATTGTATTGTGTATTTTGAAACGTTCGTACTGCATCGAAAAGGTAAATGGACTGAAAATAGTGTATAATAAATTTAATTATTTTTAATGTCCTTATATTTGTTTTTATCAATTAATTTTTTAATGTT